CTACCCAACTACACCATCTCCTAGTTAGTTCCGAAGATACCTGGAGGAAACTGGAGTGGTAAGTTTCTCTTGATCTTCGGCTCTGCTAGGGCAATAATGGCCGCGGGCGCAAGAGGCAGGGGCGGCGGGGGTGCTGCGGGCGGGGGTGTGAGGGGCGGCAGCGGCCGGCTGCCCCCGTGCTGTGGGAGCCACGGGGCCCTCTCTACACGGGGCTGCGCAGGGTGGGCGGTGGTGCTGGCGGGGCGGCTGGAGGCGGGGTGTGTCGACAGCGGGCTGCCCCCCAGGGGCGGAGCTGGCACGGCTGGTGCTTTGGGAGCCGCGGGGCCCACTCTACATGGTGGGGCAGTGGTGCTGGCAGGGTGGCTGCGGGCGGGGGCGTGGTGGGCGGTTGACCTTCCATGGGCCTGGTCAGCTTTTACGATATTTTTTTCTTCAATTTATTTGTGTCCTCCTTTTCATTGTAAAAAAGTTGGTCACCTTACCTTGCCCCCTCTTCTTGGCCTCTCCTGGTGGTCTCCCATCCCATTGCTGAGGATGTTTTGGTTACAAAGCTGGATCTCCTCGCATGGAGAGGCTCTCCCTCTGACCCATGCAATTTGCCCTCCTGCACCTACCACGAGAAACCTGGCCAAGGAGAGTGAGCACAGCTGCAGCAGCAGCCTCAGGGAAGAGGTAAGCACAACTGGATGCCCCCTCGGGGAAGTGGGGCTGGAATGGGTTGGGCTGCAGGGTCCTGGTGCCCTGGGAGTTCGAGCACTGGGTTGGACACTTGCCCTCCACTACCCAGGGCTACGGGCAGCTTGCGCCACTGTCTGGGAGTCCCCTGTGTGGACCAAGCGGGACAGTAAGGCTTCTCCAGTGGACTATACTCCGGCACCCACCCCAGTCCCATCTCCTCCACTGGAGAACCCCGGATCACCACCACCACCCCACCTTCCCCCCCCAGGTGCCCCCCACCCTGAGCGATGTTGAGCTGGCCACATCCCTGGCCATTGACTTTGTTTGTCAAAAGATTGCAAAAGGGGATCACATGACCCCGGGATACTGTGACTATCATAAATATGAATCAGTTGCCAAGCATCTGAATGTAAATCACATGACTCTGGGGATGCTGCAACGGTCATAAGTGTGAAAAATGGACACTTTTTCAGTCCATTTTAATTTCGAATAGTCACTAAGTGAACTGTTGTCAAAGACTACCTGTACTTTATCATTTTTTGGTCATCAAGTTTTTGACACCTTGCTAGGCGACTGGTGGTACTCGAATATTGCCATATCCTAAAAGTGGTGCTATTGGTGAACAGGTTGAAAAACTCTGTCTTAAGCTCCTGAAGCCTTCAAGAGAATAAGACTATAAAAAACATCTCTACAGAAGAAGGAACCAACATCCAAAGCCCCAGCTAGACAATCGTATTATGCGCAGCCTTGGTTCCTGACCAGTCTTGGTTTCTAAATATTCCCCTACTTCAAATAAGCATGACACCAAGAATAGATGAATTGGTATAAAAATTCTTAGCTATAAACGTAACTTGGACATTTCCAATTGCATATCTAATGTCCATCTAATCTACATTTGTTTTTTAATTTATTCACTTTTGAAATTTATTTACCACCCAGAGTAACTCCTCGGTGAGATGGGTGGCAAATAAATTCAACAAACAAACAATGTGATAGACTGGGTAAATGGAACCTATACATAGAAGGATACATAGATGGTTAATAAAATGCAAACTATGGTCCATGATTCCACTGACCACTCTGATTGGTACACAGAGGTAGGGGGGGGGGGAAACCACTTGGAAATGGTTTCTACTGTAACTCTCTGAAAAGACTAAGAATGTAGTTATAAAATTAAAACAATGGGAAAAAGTTCTGGAATTTTATTCTTTACAAGTTCAGAGTAATCAGTTATAGTAAATGCTGAGAAAATTTTCAGATTGACCCAGTGGCCTTTAAAATATCACTGTTCTTCCATTCTAACCTCTCATGTGATAACCAGTGGTTTATGTGTGTGGGTGTGCATTCACATTGCTTGGATTATCACAGTTTGTCTTCAGTTTTCATAAAAGCCATTGGGCACTATTAATTGGCTCAAGGCTTTTATGGCCTTGCTTTGAATCTTTTGGAAGCATTTGCCCAAAGACTGCTTTTTTATTCACTAATATCTTCTATTTATTCAATACTTACCATATTTATTTATTGCTCTAATCTCTCCCCTTCCTTTTGGTTCACCAATTCTAGAGTGCAGCTTTCAGCACGCTGTAAATAACTGCCAGTGGCCCCTTAGCTCACTTCTAAGCCAAGACACTCCATACTCAGCACAGAATGTGCATTATGTATATATTTTATAGGAAGATTTTGAGGCAAAGCCTTCTCAAGATCTTTTCACTGTCAGCTCCCTTTTGGTCTGCTTAGGTCCTAGGATGTTTTGAAGAGCTTTAGTTGGCTTGTGTGTTATGCCGATTCCATGTGGTTGTAGTGGTGAGTTGGCGGTTTCTGAGATATTCTTGATGAATGGCAGTGTAATTCTTTTCAGGGCTTGTGTTGTTTGTGTTGTATGAATGGTCAGGGACTTTTTGATAAAGTTCTGTGCATATCCATTTTGTTGGAATATGTTGTATAGATGCTCTATTTTCTTTTTCTGCTGTTCCAGGTTGCTGCAGTGTGTTTGGGCTTGTCTAAATAAAGTCCTTACACAGCTTTTCTTGTGGGAGGTTGGGTGTTTCTCTAAAAAGAAAAGTCCTAAGCAGACCAAATGACCCAACAACCCCAGAAGAAAAAATAGGAGTCATTTACAATATACAATGTAGGGACTGCAACAACCACTATGTAGGACAAACAGGCAGAAGACTGACAGAACGCATCCACAAACACCAACTAGCAGTCAGAAGACATGATGAAAACTCTTTAATTTCACAACATATGGACAGACTCAACCATAGTTTCAATTGGGAAAATGTGACCTTCCTAAACCAAGCCAAACCCCCAAACGCCAGGGAATTTCTAGAAGCCTGGCACTCTGACAAATCAGCCCTCAATAGACACATGAACATTAACAACATCTATAGACTATGCAAAAGAGATTATCACCCAGCCCAAAAAGGACAAAAAGACCCAAGCACCTCTCCACCAGCAATCAGCACCCAGATCGGCTTAGATTAACACCAAGGTTAAGATCAGACCAAGAATCAAGTAAACCAAACCCCAATCAAGAAACTGCCAAAGAAGCCAGCAGCAAACAGCACAACCAAAGAATTATCAAGACCACCTCCACCAACATTGACAGGACAAGACACCAGAATATAAACCGACAGCAAACTACACTCCTTACTAGCACTGATGATGTTATCTAGTTGGGTAATGAAATATCTGCAAGAAAACAAGCAAGCTCAGAGAGCACCAAGGACCCCTCACTAACCATATATACTCTGGAACTCAGCCTTCAGATCTCTAATAATAAAAATCCAAAATACGCCCAAGGGCATCAACTGAAGAAGGTGGGAGAAGAGTGAAAGAGGCTCCCATTCATGATATTGTAAGATACAAACTTGTGAGAAGTTGGCAAATATATGTAAGAAAGCATCCTTTACGATGCAATTCTTAGTTCTCACGTAGATGCACTGCAAATGATCACAAAACACAAATAGACAGGTCAGATAAAAGGTTAGAAGATATTTTACTCAGGCTGAACCTGACTTAGGGTTAATCTTGGTTAGGTTTTTTTTTCTGTGCACACTGTGTAAATCCAGCCTGTAGGGATAGCTTGTAATTCAATATACAAAACCAGAAAATGTGTTATTCAGTCTCCAAGTTAGGCATGAGAGGTAAACATAGCCAAGTATCTGGAACAAACAGAAAATAAAGGAATGAGATGGGCATTGTCTAGTAGAAGTGTAAGATGCTGGAATCAAGAGCCTGGAAACTATGTGAAGAGAGATAAGCACTCAAGATTCCTACATCTTAAACTGGTTATTTGTATTGCCCCCTGATAATCATAGATATTACCTAAGATTTAAATGACCTTTGAAATAAGAAACAGGACTGACTCATGTAGAAATCTGAGCAGTGCATGGACAGTGGTATTAATCCTAATCCTAGTAGTAATTTCCTTGGTCTGCTTAGCATTCTCTAGAAAGGCTGGAGCATCTGTAGTTGCCACCAAACAAATAAGCCCTGTCTGTCATTATTCATATAACGATATCATTCATATGCTGACAAAAATCTGGTTTTCCTCTTAGAATCCCTAATGCTGGAACCTGGTTTCATTTGTATGCACCCACTGGGAAAAAAAAGAAAATAAATTCCACTCATGTCATTCTTTTTAGCCAATTTATACTCTAGCCTGACATTATATTCTTCCATATAGGTGAGAGGCTGAATCTTTGTTTCCATATTGCTATCCGATTCACCTCTGTTCTGCATATTTTCCTAAGAAAGGAAAGAAGTTAGACTGTAATATTTAACAGCTGCAATTCCCATTTCCCCCAAAAAAGGGAGTCAATATCATTGTTTTTCCCAGAAAATGTTGGGGTGTCTCCTGGCACTTCTGTACCCATTTGCATATTTGCAAATATAACTGAACCACTAGCTACATCCTATTTTCCTCTGGGAATATAAGCACTGGTATGAAGTGGTTATCTTGATTTGGATGGACCATCTGCTAATAAAAGTCAATCTTCTTCTCACTCTCATTTGCCATCTTTCTTGGATGTTTTACTGCCTCCCCACTAAATCTTCCGACTCACACAATGACATAAACTAAGTGGTAGTTTTGAAAAACTCAGTTGCCCAGCAATTGCTCCTTTAAATTTCCCCCTCTTCCTTTTTCCTCTGATCCCCCAACAACCCAAAGACAAGGTACATCTTTGCAAAGGCCATACAGATATTGTTTTTCAGCCCCCTCCCCCACCTTTCATGTGAAGACTCCGTCCACCCAAACCTGTAACTCCTTTGACCATTTGAAGGCTGACTTTAACATAGCTGCTTGTTTGCTGACTCACTTTCTCCGTCATATAGTAAGGGTCAAAGTCCTCCAATGGCACAGCAACCAAGCCTTTGGGGATGTCCCCGTAGATGAAAGGCAAACTCTTCCCAGCCTCCAGGTCACTGTTTGGTTTTGGTTTGTTCTCTTCATCGTCATCTCTGTGACTGCTGTCTTGCTTAGGACGCTTCTTTTTCTTGTCTTCTTCAATGCGCTTCTCAATGTTAGCCAGAGATTCCAGAGTGAAAGGCCTAAAACTGTCAGGGCCTGGTGGTGCAAGCAACCGCCCTGCCATCTTTTCATCCTGCAGAAGCTTGTTCAGTTATGTTGCACCCAGGGTAGGTCAACTCTGAATGGGAGAGCACAAAAGAAAAAGAAAAAAACCATAAATCAGTTATCAACATCAGGGTTGGCTGGATAGTTGGGAACTTCCCTAGGAAATAATTAATCCGGTTGAGCCTTTTCCCCACTGAAGTAGTAGACTGAGAGTCCTTGGAGGTTACAAACAAACAAACATCACTTCCTACATTCCCCAGTGGAGTAATCAGTTTTGTCTATTGTAGCATAAACAATAAAAAAGCATTAAGGCATGCCAAAAATTAGCATCAACTTTCAAGGACTATGCTTTCCTATGTCATTTGCCTCACTTAACTTTGGGTTCTTCTGGGGACATTTGAGACAATTGACCTTACCACAAGTTCCGAGTTCTTCAGACAAAGAATAAATTATTGGGATTACTCCGTTTAATAGCCCATGATCAAAACAGTAAGAAACAGCAGCTTTTATTGCCAGAATTTACTGAGTTTTGTAATGCTCTGATGGCTCTGCCTCTCCTGAAGATTCAGCTCCTCAACTACATATTAATCTGATATTTCTCTTTTTAATCCTGTTTCCATTCTGGGCAATTTCATCTCAGTTTGTATTATACGTTCCAACATTTTTCTTTCAATTTCAGATGCTCATACTAAGAAACATAGAAAGTTTTACAAGATTTGAGATGCTAAATCAATGATTTCAAAACAACATTTCGTCATCTCTTGACTGGACTATTGCAACAGACTATAATACAGCGATGTCTTTGAAGAGCATCAGTTAAAGCTGGTTGAGAATGCAATGAACCAATTAAGTGCATCCCTGGTTTGCTCAAGTGACACCACTACTGGGAGGGGAGTATTAGTTGCCAGGTTGCTTCTAGGTGCAATTCAAGGTCCTGGTTGTCCTCTTTAAGGCCCTTTGTGGCTCAGAATTTTGCTATCCATGAGACCACTTTCTCTCAATGGGAACAGCCTCTGAATCCCTTTTGAACCACCTTTGGGGACTATGATGGCATGCCTTTTCCATTGCCGCCCTTCCCCTTTGAAATAATGCTCCACCTGAGGTCACATCATTACCAACTCTGTTGGCATTTAAGAAAATCCCTAAAACATAGCATTTCCAGAAGGACTTGGGGTATAAATAGAATGGTGCATTTCTGTGCTGATTGTTACTCAGACTGCCATTTCTTGGCATGATTTTGAATGGGAATATTATTATTACAGGTAGTCCTCAACTTACAACCAATTGTTTAGTGACTGTTTGAAGTTACAGTGGCACGGAAAAAAGTAACTTGCAATCGGTACTCACGCTTAGAACCATCGCAGCATCTGCACTATCAAGTGATTAAATTCAGGTGCTTAGCAATTGGCATGTATTTACAATGGTTGCTGCATCCCGGGGTCATGTGATCACCATTCATAATTTACCCAGCCAGCTTTCCACAAGCAAAGTTAATGGGGGAAGCTGGATGTGATTAAGGACTACATGATTCACTTAACTGAGTGGTTCACTTAACAACCATGGCAAAAAAAGGTCATAAGTTGGATACAACTCACTTAACCACTTTGCTTAACAATGGAAATTCTGGTCCCAACTGTGATTGTAAATCAAAGACTTCCTGTATTTGATTTGGCTTATGTTATAACATTATTTCTATTTTTTTTTGTTAGAGTATAGTAGGGAACTGCTGTCTCTTTACATAATAAACCAGCCTGATGTGTTCAGAAGTAGTTATCTAATCCCTGAGAGGAAAAGAAGGTGTTCTCTCAGGTTTTGGGCAAGAAACACTTTTTAGAGTTGGTTTTAGTCCTGGACTGATGGTGAGGGGGTTACCTGAGGCAATGCTGAACACTGAGGAATTATTTTGTTCTAGAGTAGAATTCTGTGATGGTTTGTGTGTGTGAGTGTGCGTATGTTATTTTATCTGTTTATAATTCTGTGTGGATCTTTTATCTTTTTCGGCACCTTTAATAAAGTTGATTTTTGTTTAAATGCTGAAGTTGACCAATGGCCTTCTGGCATCCACCTCAGACTGGCTGAGCTACAGATTCCCAAAAGTTTTTTATGGCTTCTCTTCCTGTAGTTTGACCAGATGCAGCCTGAATTAAGCATGACCCATCAAGTGTGCCCCAGAATTTTCATGCCAGATGTCCCAAGATGCTTTCCCCAAAATAATTTAAATGCTTCTATTCCCCACTGTTGAGTCAGAACTGAAGAAGCTTCTTGGATTTCAAGGAAAAAGTCCAAGAAAGTCCAGTTGCCTTTTGGAAAAGCATCTTTGGGACAACCATGACCTGGATGGCTGAGAATCTCCATAAAGACTTTCATGCCAGATGCTCAGTGGTCCCTTGACCCATAAGCCCATTTCAAAGGATTCCCTGAAGGAAAAAAAAAAGATGGAATCCCATTGCGCCACCTGAAAACCAGAGCTCTTCATAAGAATGTGGTTCTTCTCCAAGTCTGCTAAGACAGGCCTCTTTGGCTTTGTATGGAAGACCCCAACCAGCAACAAAAGTGAAGAATTTCCCCAAAATTCAAAAATCAAAACAGCATTTTTCCTCAAGCTACTCTGGGAATCAACTCTCTGAAACGTAGCTCTAAATGCAAAGATGATCCAAGAGGTATTTGTCCCTAAGTGCACAAAGATTAGCAAGTTCTGAGGGTTTTATTTAAGTAAAAAACATTAATTTTTCTATGCCACAAAATGAAATCAAACCAAACAAAAAGAGAACCTGGTTATTATTATTATTTTTTAAAAAAGCAAGTTTGAATAAGACATCTGGGAGCTGTTTAAAATACAGGTTGTCCTTGACTTACAACAGTTCATTTACTGACCATTCAAAGTTACAACAGCATTGAAAAAGGTGACTTATGACCATTTTTCACACTTATGGCCGTTGCAGCATTCCCATGGTCATGTGATCCAAATTCAGATGCTTGGCAACTGACTCATATTTATGACGGTCGCAGTATCCCGGGGTCAACGTCAATGGGGAAGCCAGGTTCACTTAACAACCCTGTCACTAAATTTACATCTGAAGTGATTCACTTAACAACAGTTAAGTGCAAGTGCATCATAAAATGGGCCAAAACTCACTTAACAAATGTTTCATTTAGCAACAGAAATTTTGGGCTCAATTGTCATCATAGGTTGAGGACTACCTGTAAAGTTATAATCCTGTTGTATCTAAAATGTCGCTAGGAGTTGAAAACTACTTGATGGCACGTAATCTACCTTCTCTCCCCATTGAACCGTCTGTCTGAGATCACATATGGCAATAAGCAAGGCATGAATCTTATTTGCCCTCATTCTCACTTGGCATTTGAACTGACAGATCACACTGACTCTGACTCATACAACTCTAGCATACACCTGCTCTGTACTTGCCTGTGAACACTTTGCAGGTATGAAAGAACCATGAATTGTGAGTATGTTTAGGCTGAAAGCATAGAGTTTTTTTATTTTAAAACATTAGATATCCACGTGTGACATATCATTCTGAGACTTCATTCATATAATTTGCAAAGCCATAGGCTGTCCTAACATGACAGGAATAACTCTCCTCCATTCAAGGAAGAACTAATTTCTCCTCTACTGGTAGCAAATGGCAAAGATGGCAGGGTTTGTCATGTGGTTACTATATTTTTAGTCCTCTCAGCTTCTGTGAAAAAGACTATCGTTTCTCAACTCTTGTCTTTTTTCCCTGTATGATTGTGTATGTTTGTGTGCAAGGACTCTGCAGTTATGCAACTGGATCGAGTTACATTGCAGATGGACTGAGAGAGAACTTACCCTCTGCTACATAACAGATAACAGAATAACAGAGTTGGAAGGGACCTTGAAGTTCTTCTAGTCCAACCCCCTGCTTGAGCAGGAGACCATATACCATTTCATTACCTGGGCTGGTGTGAAAAGGAAAGGAAAAAGATAATGGCAAAAGTGCCACCCCCCCACCCCCCACCCATTTCAAACAGTTCTCTCCAGGCTATAGTCTCAGTCTCATGAGCGAAAAACATCAATTAATCACCTAGAAAGTAATTCACATAAAGTAGGTAGATGGGTGTAGTTTAGTTAGTGTAGGTTAACCGTTAAAGTGTTTGCACAACAGGCTTACCCTTTTGGTTTCTTTGAGGAGGACCTTACTGTGGTTGTTTGTAGCATAGCACAACCTGCCAGTTCAGCCACAGTGGCTTGGCATTATGAGTGAAGATGGCCATTTGTTCAACAAATTGTGGTTTTGTTGTTTAAAAAATAATACAGTAACTTGTTGCAGTGCGCAAACCTAGGGTTTAGTTGAAAGAGATCTAGGTTTCTATTTCCAAGCAAAAAGATGAAAGATCTTTGTTTTCCCTTTCAGTAAATAAAAATGATTGATAAAAGGAACCCATTTTCCAGAATCCAGAATCTGTTGACATGCTTGAGAAATATGAATGGCTAGCTGACTTTTTCAGTATTATAGGAGAAATGGCTCCAGAATGAATATCTGGTTATATTAGCTACATAAGGGAAGGTTCACAGCAGGACTGCTCTTTCAAAAATGCAGCAAAACCTTCATTTGAGTCTTTCTGAATAGTAGGTTGCTGCTCTTGGTAAAAGTATATTTGACATTTTGATCGGGAAAAAGTGTCAAATATACTTTTACCAAGAGCAGCAACTTACTATTCAGAAAGACTCAAATGAAGGTTTTGGCAATCCTTTTTAACAAGTCCATCTGGCTAGCAAGGCCAAATCTATCTTCCTTACACCAAATTGAGCAAGTAGCAGTCCTCCAGATATTTTATATATATATATATATACATATATGTATATACAGTATGTATATATGTATATATGTACTGTATATATGTACACATATGATTGAAAGACTATGTCTGGAGAAGTAAGTTTGCATGCAGCAGGGACTGCACTGTGTCCCAACAAAGAGGGCACTGTCCAGGTATGACGTGCTCTTAGACAAAATAAATGCATGAGTCAGAAAC